CAAACCAGACACTTTGTTGACATTGTACCACGGCACTTAGCAGCACACATGCTTTAATGCTGTTATTTTTCACCAGCCAGCTGTTCCACTTTATACAACGCTTAAGTAACAATTTCACAGCCATTACCAGCCTGCAGTAATGACATGGGCTGAAAGCTAAGCTAAAGCTAACTGGTTGTAAACTGCAAAAACTGGGAGATGCTGAAACAGACACTTTGATAAATGAGAGGGGACATCACCTGCATTTTAATTGGTCGAGTTGGAGCCTCTTTCATCACTCGAGTAAACATAGTGTTTAGTGGGTCAGGAGATAGAACTGGGAATCACTATCTTTATGCACTTAGGAAATATATTTCCTTGATTTCAGGTGTGGTGTATTGATTCTGGGAGTTCCTTCTACGTTTTTTTTTTTTCTTTCTCCCTCTCCTCGATGTGTACCCTGTCAGCATTGATGGGTTTTCAGGGACTGAAGACTCCCAAGGGCTTTGTTTGCCATGATTGATTTGGTGCAAGGGGTGACCGACTCACGAGTCTTAGTAACTGATGTGCTGCACAGGGAGCAGTGATCCAGAGGTAAATAACAGCTTGTGGAAACACCTATGAAAGTGTTTAGTTGGTTAGGCTCCTTGTTTGAAAAAAAAACAACAACCCCAAACTAACCACAATTGAAATGCTCAATAAGTCCTTTCTCTCCTGCTCTTTTAAAAAGCAGAATCTGGCCCAAAGTGACATGATGGCCACCAAATATTCAAACAATTTTACTTGCTGCTGCCCAGCCACCCCATTTAAGCAAGCATGCAATCTGTTGTACTTAGATTAACGGTGAGCAAATATATAAAAAAGCTCTGTCATATGCCTTTTTGCATATTGCAGTTGGGAAATCTTAGTAGGCTGAACTGTGGCTGAACCGAAGAGCTGTCTCATGAGCACTCTTAAGAGCAGCTGAAGGGTCGAAGACCCAGCTTGCCCTGTGACAGCCAGGCAGTTCGATAAAGCAGATTTGCAAGAAAGTAATTGAGACCTGACAGCAGTCATAGTGTTTTCACCTCAGGTGTCTTTAGTTTTATCTGTTGACAAATAACATAGTTATTATTAACCCTGTTTCATCCAGTTCATTCTTTGGTAATTGCAAAGTGCTACTGCGATTGTAAATTAGATGAATAAAATTCTTCAAATCCCCAACAGTGACAAATGCAACATTGAGACATACTAGAGTAAAAAGCGTTTCCTGGGATTGTTGAATTGAAGCTCTAGTGCTAATTGTAGAAGTATATTTAACTGATTCTTCAAAAAGAGTTCCTAACCTGTAATTCTGTAGAAAACAACAATCTTGTTGTGTTATTGTTTTCAGTAAAATTAGAGGGTTGGGACTTCTAATAGATGAGTAAATTAAACCTTATCAAAAACTCTTCTAAGAAATCCTGATCCATAAACTGCAATTACCCCAAGGAGTATGCACAAGGATCTGCATTTGTTTTGAAACATCAGAAGTCAGTGCAGGATGGCAGTTTGTTGTTGGATAAAGTGAATGTCAAGGATAAACAAACTCAGCTTGTCTTACTGGTTTGTGTCCACTTTTCTGGTTTACCTCATCGCTCTGGCATTTAAAGGAATCTAGACAGAAAACAAGAGGATGGTATCAGTTATGTGTCTGTGTTTGTATGCTTATTTTAATCTGTTTTTTACTGCTTTTTAAAATACGTGAGAAATTTCCTCAATTTTCACTGTGTTGCTGTTTACTTAAGCAGTACTGAGACCCTGCACAGCTTTCATGATTGCAGTAAAGCTATTGTATGTGTGCCAGCAGGGCGAGATGGCGTACGCTAGTCTTTATTGCAGCCTTTTGGTACTTAAAGGGGGCCTATTAGAAAGACTAGGACAACCTTTTTATCAGGGCTTGTTGTGATAGGACAAGGAGTAATGGGTTTAGACTAAATGAGGGTAGATTTAGACTAGATGTAAGGAAGAAATTTTTTACAATGAGGGTGTTGAAACACTGGCACAGGGAGCCCAGTGAGGTGGTAGAAGCCCCATCGCTGTAAACATTCAAGGCCAGGTTGGTCGGGGCTCTGAGCAATCCCATCTGGTTACAGATGTCCCTGCTCGCTGCAGGGGAGTTGGACTAGATGGCCTTTAATGGTCCCTGCCAGCCCAAACTATTTTGTGGTTCTGTGGCTCTATGCTGTGGTCTAAAGTGGCTTTTTTCTTGTTTCCCTACCAGTTTTGTTAATAAAAAATGTAAAAGCATAACTGTTGTATAGTCAATGTACTCTATTGTGTGTTTTTAAGTAGCAATTGTAGCATAGTAATTACTGGTAACCTCCAGCCATGGGAAAATGATTACTTTTATGTGAGGCTACCGTCTGCTCGGGTTTCCAGGGCATGGACCCTTTTTTTTTCCACCCCAGAAATCTTGTCCAGGAGAATTCAAGGGCTTAATATCTTTTTCCTGGACTTCCAAATGTCTCAGAGTGTTCCTGCATGTGACCCAGAGAAGGCCCCATGACATATAAAAAATCTTAGATGCACTCATTGGCCTGTGCAGACTGTGGGGGCAGCAGGTGGTTACCGATCGAACGTGCTGCGCGCTGCACCGATGGCTTGTTATACCTACACGGCAGACCTGAGGGGCCAACCTTCCAGCACGAGCTCCAGGCATGTGTGGCTTTGTGAACTGAAACTAGCCACTCACTTGCACCCTTGGTCTGTGGCTGTGAGCGATTCAGCCGCTGTCCTGTGTTAGAGCTAAGCACGGTGAGCTGGCTCCATCGAGACAGCTGACTTTTCAAATATATGAGCTCAGCTAGGTGGCCCAAATCCCACACTGGCGCCTTCTTATCAGCCATGATCAACTACTGGAGAGGCAGCAGCCACATTGGAGAGCTAGAAGGGTGGGTACGAGTTTCTTGATCATAACCAGCTTAATTTGGATAGATCCAAGCCACTCTGCTTTCCCTGTGAAGTGGGAATAATTTTTCTACTCTCGGTCTTAGTTGACACCGAGCAGTTTTCCTTTTTAGAGGTGGAACAGAAAGGCGGGACCAGATGCTGGTCACTAGGAATAGCTAAAGACATATGCTGAAAAATGTTTCATCCAGATTGTCTGGCCTTTTTCTGTCTCCCTCTCTTTCTCTAAGATGCCAGGAATTCAGTTTAATTTCAACTCTTCTTTGACCGTTGATCTCTTGTCCTGAGGGATGTTTGTGGTCTAGGAGCAGTAACTGCACCTGTTTAAAATGCATTTTGTGAAATTAGTGTAGAAGAATTTGAGCACAAATTGGCAGCCTTCATATATCAATTCTTCCAGGTGTGCTGAGGAAATTACAGCCACTGCTGCTGAGTTAGTGGTAGAAGAAATGAGATACAACCCTTTTTGTTCAAGACAGTTGAAGGAATTCTTTGGCTTTTTATTCTGAAAACATCTGTGTGGATGTTGTCCTTCAAAGATTCACAAGTAATCTCATGCAGAGGCAGAGCTGATAGTGCTTGTTTTATTGATACTAGCATCTCTGCATGGCAGCAGCTGTTTATACAAAAAAATCACATACCTTTTTGGTTTTTTTGCCCAGAATTGAGAACTTGCCATAACACCGAATGGATTTTGTGTATGAGATTTTAAGCAAATATAATTAAACTGTCATTTCCTGACAGCTCATATATGAGGCTGTTTGACCACAATGGACTTTTTTGTTTTTGCAAACACATTCAGAACCCAAAAGTTAACAGCACTAGAAACTCCTAGTTCAGTAAATTGGCCAATGTTATATATCTGTGGACCAATTCAGTAGTGCTTTAAGATACATATTTAGATATTTAGTTAAAGAAAGGGAGAGAAAGAATTAAGGAATACAATACCTGCTAAGAGAAAATAAAACTGATATTATTAGAAATATAGAGATATTGCTCCTCTTCTTCACTGGTTATTCAAAACAAGAAGTGTTATGCTAACACGTGAGAACCAGAACGTACTTCTCAGTAGGAGCCAGTTCAGTTGTCATGACTGTAACACTTTCTCATAGAGCTTTTCCTATTGCTTAACTTCGTACATAGAAACAGAATTCCAAAGAAACCAGTCACATTTGGAAAAATAAGAATATTTCTAAGTATTTTTAGGATCAGAGCTGATAGAACAGTTAAAACCAACAGTATTAAAAGAAAATTAAGAAATGTTGTGGACTCAGAACGATGATGAAAATTGGAGCAAAGACATGAAATGTGATCTCCCAGTAACCTGGGGAGGAGGAGAAGAAAAATTAGGTTTTGCTTGTAATATGAATCCTAGCAATGGCTCCTCATTCCAGATATAAGCCCCAGCAACAACCTGACTTTTTGTGACAAAAATACTTTCCCCTCTAATACAATAATATCTAGTCAAGAGAGAGCTTTAATGTGCTCACTGGTGCCCAGGGTGTGGATAATGGAAGAGCAGGAGCGAGGAGCATGCTCCAGAACATGTCTGTTCTGCAACTTAGCTATGACTAAAGCCATAATTACCATTAGTTCAATAAGATTTCTATCTTGATATCATTTCTTCAAAATATGGAATTCTTAATTAATTTTCTCATCTCATTTCCTTGTAATACTGTTGAACTCTAACATTAGAGTGGTAGCATTTTCTGTGGGGCAGTAATGGGAACTTAATGAAGAAATAAGTAACAGATTGAGCTGACATTTTGTATCTAATTGGTGAAATATCATCTTGTTCCTCCTAGGGCAAAGGTGAAGAAAGGTGTGAACATTTTCAGTGTAAGAGCCAGCAGCCCGTACTTATGGGACATCAGAGAGAGCATGGATTATACCGGGAAATATGCACCAGCTGTTATTGTTTGCCAGAGGAAATCTACTGCCTCTGAAAACAGGTAGGTCATTTCCAGCAGTTTATCTTGTAATTAGTAATGACTGTTTTCCTTTTCAAAGCTTTTTTTGCCATGATTTTAATAAGTTTTATTATAGCGCATGATGAAAATGCTTTTGGAAAAGCTGTGGCTGTCTTTATTTTGTAGTGCTTTGCTAATTCTTCCGCATACACTTTGAACAAAATGTTACTCAATCCTAAGGAAGTTAAAACTAGCAGGAAATAATGTTTTCACAGAGTAGTTAGAAGAACATGTTTCGTATCATAGAATTTGGTTGTGACTAGTTTAATCTCTTCTAACTATTTGCTGCCAGGCATTATATCAGAGTATCAGGGGGTTTGTGTTGGTGGCTTTTTTTTGCTTACAGTTTTTCTGATGGGTAGGGGTTTGGCTTTTGGTTGCTTTTTATTTCTTGGGTTTTGGTTTTGATTTGGTTTTTTTTTTCTTTTTTAATTCAGAGGAAACTAAAACATACTGCTGGTATCAAACCCATGTTTTTGTCAGTGAGATTTATATGAATTTTTAATCTGCAGAAGGGAATAGATTTTCCATTTTCCATTCCCGCTGTGCAACACCTTAGATGGAACACTGACCTGTCTTAAACAGCGTTCATCTGGCAGGTGGATGTTCCTTTGCTAATGACAACTGATTGCTTTAATGAATATATTTTTATATCATTTGCTGCTTTTTGTTCATTGTTTCTGGAACTGTATATGCCAAGTGCATATTTATAAGGATTTGACTTCCCGTGTGTGTATTGTGTTTGGCATTGCTGTTAAAAAACTTGCAATATAACATGGAAGTACTGTGCTGTGATTTGCTTCTGAAATGTTACAAAATGTTATAGGCTTTGGGGATTTATGTGGTTTAGAATTTTTAAATAAATACCCTCTGAGCCAAATAACTATGAAGTTTCATGTCTTTGCAATCTGGGTATATAAGAAAAAGAGGAAGGGAAGAATTTGCCTTCATAATCATGACAAATCACTTTTTCCTTATTATAACTCAGATACTGCACGGTTTCTCTGCACAATTTCTCTGCTATAGTATCCTGAATTTTCTCATCTAAACCATTTATTGTCACATACCTGGCTGAATTTTATTGGTCAAACCAGAATTGTGTATACATGCCAAGGTCAGAGCTTCCTACTGCCTAGCACAATCTGTCAGATAGATTCTTTAAAATCCCAGTTCAAAGCTATTTGAAGACAGTCTGAATATTTTCATTGACTGAAATGGGCATTGGATCAAAATCAAAGATTATTTCAACGATGAGTTTTCCATCACACTTTATCTGGTTGGGCCCATACAGTGCATTTGCCTGATTTCTCTTCCTCATCAGGAAAACATAATGCAACCTCTTGGGTGAATTGAAGCTTGGCAACTTCTTTCACTTCACTATTCATCATTCAGTGGCAAGCCTTCCAAATGACTCCTTGTACACAAAGAAATAAATTGTTATGTCACCTTTCATGCAGTGGTTGTGGATCCAGTGTGCTTTCACATGTTGAGTATAAGCATTGCTTCATGTCTATTAAAAGAAATGTGAGCTCATATACATATCAGTTTTTACTGTAAAGAAAATCAAGTGAAGACAAGGTATACGTGTAACTCTTACAACTTCTGGTTTGACTTATTCCATCTGAGTTCCCATTTGAGATTTTGTGGTTTTCTCGCTTGTGATAACTTCTTCCTCATGGTTTGTAAACGAATGTAAAATATTTGCAATACTTTATTCAGTATGTTGTTTTTGTCATAAAATTTAGTCATATCTATTTTGCTGTTCATTT